TTCCACTTTTCCTATTATGACCCATCCGTGTGGATGTGGACGTGTCCTCGGAAATGCAAGCTGAGCCTGTCTAAAGTTACCCAGCCAGTAATGTCGGGAGTAAACTTTGTGCTGAGGATTTCTGCTTAAAGCTACGGTCTCCTTCCAGTCTGGAGAGTCTGAGGTGGTTGCTGGGGCGTCATGAAACTGAGAGGTAATAAACTGCTCCGTGTTGGATGCCTGGGTTGTGAAAGCTGAAGAAAACCAGCTTCAGAGGCCCCAGGTCATTGCTCAGAAAGAAAGCAGGGAGACAAGAATTGGTAAAAGGAAATGGGCTTATCTATAGTCTGAGCCACAAATGGAGAAAGAGAAATTATCACCTTCTATCTTGATTGTGGCAATGTCATAACTTATTAAAAAACAAAACCAAAGCCCTGAAACACATGTTAGGATTTAGTTGTGACATAAGTTATCAAACATGCAAATTAACCTTTTCCTGGGCATTAGCCTGCCCAGATAGTGGTAAAGAAAGTTTCTACAAAGAACACCTTACAGTGTGCCATCCGCAAGGCTGATTCGCTGATTACAGCTTCCATGATTGTGGAGTGTTTGGAATGTTACAAGTCCAGAGACAGAGTACCATGAACCAGTCCAGCTCCTTTGGTAGCCGTTTATGTCCGTCCTCTGTATGTGAGCTAACGTCTTTGTGACCTTAGGTAAATGCTCTGGAATGTACAGACACCTCGTGCCCGCCAACAAAAGTTTAAGACTGCGGTCAGATATCCCAGAAGTCTACAGCCGAGAAGACCCCTCTTTTCTGTATCCCTCTACCTGTTTCCACCAATGTATTTGAAAAGTGTGTTAATTTATGACCTTCTTTGCTGTTTCTATAAAAACTGCTTAAAATTGCTACCTCACTGGACCATGGAATGTGGGGTAACTTGAATTATCCCCAGGGCATTGGCCACACGCATTTGGCTCCAGAATAAAGGCTCTCATATCCCCTTTGAGGTGAGAGTGTATGGTTTATGTTGACATGATTTTGTCTGTGGCACCAGGACTTTAAGCTGTTCTTACCGCCAGCATGGGATTTTCTGGAGAAACTGTAGCTCTTTAGAGTCCCTAGTTTACCTACCATGACAGAAGGCTACCATGACAGAAAGCCAAGACCGTTAGTTTTCACACCTTCCTGCAGTTTTCACTTTCTTTGATAGCATTCTAATTTAGTCACCTGGCCCTTAAGTATTTTTATTTTCACTTAAAATTGTGTGTGTGTGTGTGTGTGTGTGTGTGTGTGTGTGTGTGTGCAGAAGCCTACCATGACAGAAAGCCAAGACCGTTAGTTCTCACACCTTCCTGCAGTTTTCGCTTTCTTTGATAGCATTCTAATTTAGTCACCTGGCCCTTAAGTATTTTTATTTTCACTTAAAATTGTGTGTGTGTGTGTGTGTGTGTGTGTGTGTGTGTGTGTGTGTGCGCGCATGCAGGTACC